CAGTCAGAACAAGGGCCCTTACCGCTGGGGACCTCGACCCTGCAAGAGCTTCAGCCTTGAAGCCTCACAGTCCCCAGCCTTCAACCTTCAAGCCTTATAGTCCCCCTCAAGTAGATAGAATATGGCGTTGGGTATTTTTTTATATCATAATATGATCCCCATATACCCAATACACAACATATTCTATCTACTTGAGGGGGCCATAACCCTGAAGCCTTAAGCCACCAAGCTATCCTCTGCAACCCTAGATCATCTGCTGGCTCCTCAGCGAGAATGCGGATGCTGAGATGGAGGCTATGCCCTGGGTCCTACTTGGCATCTCTGAGTTGAATTTGAGTTAAGGTGTTTAGAATCTTGGGTTTCAGGGCTTGGGGCTGGGGCGGCTGCCCAGGGCAATGAAACCCCATCTGTCCTTGCGATAGTCCAATAAATAGTCCGACTGAAGAGCTCAGGCATTTTCCTCTCATTGACATTGGCCATGCTCGCGTACTGGTGGGACCGCGGGAGAGGGGATCTGGTGAGGAAGCATGCAGGAATTTTGCAGGGATGCTGCAGAGATCTATGGGGTGCATCAGTGAAACAAGCTTTGGGCATGGTAGTACTTGTAAGGGCTCTTTTTGCATTGAATGGTTTTGTGAAGATCTCGAAATTCTAGCCAGGTGTAGAGTGTAGAGGGTATTGAAGAATCAGGGGTCTGTTGGCTGGGGGGTCCTCATGCCAAGGATCCTAGTGATCTCGAGGAATTGCTCTGAGGTACAACATAGACAATCTGAACAAATGCAGAAATTTCCCCTGTATCATCGGCAATTCCGCACGTCATACAAATGGAAGGACCAACAGGGTGGAAGGACCCTGGTGTAAGATTGTCATGGACTTCATGTACATGTGTGTTTGCCGGTGCTATTGCACACCCTATCGATAGCACAGGAAGCATTCGAAAATAGCAGCAGCAGCAGCAGCAGCAGCAACCGTACGTTTGATGGGTTTCTCAGCCAGGTACTGGTGGGTCCAGAGCTTTGAGACACCACTGGCACGCAAGAGGAAACATTGGCGCCACAAGCTGTAGCCTGGCAAAGGTTTGGGTCGGTTCGGGCCATTTTGAGGATTTCTGTCGCGCGTGCCGCTACTACACTTCCGTGTTCACCTGGAGCTCCATAACAAGAACACCAGGTGCAAGTAGTTGTTGACGGGCTTCCGTCTTTTGCCAGCCACTCAAAAACTCAGGGTTGGCAGGTGGGGTTTCAGGTTTCAGGGCATGATGATTCTTCCGGCTAGCCTGCATGTTCATTGTGCCTGCGTGATTTGTATTGCATTTCGTTTCGCGTGAGGTCCCAACAAACCTTACATAGGAAGTGTGCGCCGGTGAAGGTAAGTAAGCATCACAGGCATTCTGCCCATCATTATGATCATGGTTACCGTCAACCCAAACACCTGAATACCTTCAATTTTGCAATACATCCTTGACCAAACCCCAGGCCCTGAAAGATCCCCAGGGCCTAAATCTTAACCGATGGGAGCTGCTCTACACCCTCTCCGCTGAGGCTTCGCAAGCAGAGTGCTGGTGCCTGTGATCGGGGGCCAGGAGCGGTGTCGAACCGAAAAGAGTTTGGGGATCAGTTTTAGGACTTGGTAGGTTTGGGGTTGATGTGGACCTTTTGGGGTGTCGTTTGTCTTTCCTTTGATACGAGGTAGGGCGATCTCTGCGGGGAAGCTCTGGGAGTTCCACAATTATTTCCAAGAGGCCATCGGCCGGCGCGACATGCGCCTTGGATCATGGGATTCCCTGGTTTTCATGAGTCGTAATGAGCCTATGAGTTGGAGATCATGTCTGAATCCATCCCAAAGCCCCAAAACCCCAAAGCTGAGGAATTATGTTGTGTCGAACCTTCTTCTGCCTCTCACGAAGCCTGAAAAGCTATCTTACGCAGAGCTGGCGGGACCGAGTCAAGTTCAATGGCAGAGGGGCTGCACGTGGGAGAGTTTGTAAGGGTAGTATACGGGCATGCGCCAGAGGCGGGTAGTAGAAAGGGTGTAGGGTTCAGGATTCAGGATCTGTATGGTCTCCCCCATAAGCTGGAGTTTACCAGATCCAGGCCATTAGACGTGTGTGCAACCCGAATCCAAGGTTCGTGTCGCACTGCTGGAACAACTGCTTTGCAGACATGATGGAAAGTCTACGCCGGCTGGCAACGAGCCTTGCTGAGCCAGGAAGTACTTATCTGGCTTGGCATGAGGCTGCTGCAGCAGCACCAGCATACAAGTTCGGCTGGGCGATTGTGCAAATAGGAATGTTCGTACATAGTACTTTTTTGCTACCTTCGATGGGGTTGCTAGATTTCAAGGACAGATGCCCGCGAGGAACCGAGGTAGCAAGGCAGCGAGAACCACCCCGTCAGTCAGGCGCCAGCCAGTACAGATACAAGAGGACAACGTAGAGGGGGAAAGACCACAGACGACAGGACACAAAAAGAGGACAGACAGCACAACAAAAGAAGAGAACAGAGCAGAGAAGATGCAGGCGAACAGATCAGGAACGAGAACACAGAGTAAGACAGATAGGAGGTTACCAAAGATAGCGGCCAGTGGAGGTCCCAGTAGGCCTCCGAGTGCAATGAGACATTCTTGGTGCGTCAAGAGCAGCCAGTGGAGGTCCCAGGCCTGAGTGCACCGAAATAATCTTGGCGCCCAAAGAGCAGCCGTTGGAGGTCCAAAGAGTGTAAGCCGCACAAATGGTACTATTATCCAAATTAACACAAGGGCATGGTGTCCACTTTGCGCAGTGCGCATCACGCCGCGCACCACCGACACGCCGTAAAACCCCACGGTGTCCCACGCGGCCCGTTTTAACTACATAACACCAATTTGAGTTGAGACGGAGAACATCAGCAGGCGCCAGCCAGTAAGGAGAACAAATCAGAGAAGAGGAAGGAGAACAGAGAGTACCAAATTAGCGGCCAGTGAAGGTCCCAGGCCTGCGAGTAGCCAGTGGAGGTCCCACATGCCCAATTGGGGCCAGCAAGTTAGCCCAGGCAGTGAAGCCCCAACGATCATTCAGGACCGCAGGTGAAAAGACAGCTGAGGCAAGCCATCCGTTGGCGAGCCATGGCAAGTCGCTTCTCTAGTCCATGATTGGTACTGTAATGGATGAGGTCCTGCCCGCCCATGGAAGCACGCGTGGCTCACACCCAAATTCCGGCATGCTTGGCCTCAGCAGACAAACCCCCTCACACGTGGGTGCAAGTCAACTTGCTAGCTTACACGGGTTGCCTGGTCTAGGGCAACTGAAATGCGACGCGTGTCATCTCTGTGCAGGGGCCATGCTTGGAACCCGATTTTAGGTTTAGGGTTGCGCAGTGGCATTGGCATGAATGATGCTCAATAAAAGACAAGCATTCCGCGGGCTGGCCAATAGTCCACGTGTTCATGTTTCGCGCTGGTTGGATCTGCACAAAGCCTTCCTATCCTTCGGATTTGTATTTATGAGCAATGCAGCATCTGACCTGTGGTTCTGTTGAAGTCGGTGTTTTTGTAGGCAAGCTTCGAAGCATTCCGGGAGATTTATCAAGTGCTTGCGCAACAAAAAATCAGCGCCCTACACTTGGTAAGTTGTGCACGCTGACATGTCTGATTAGGAGCCCCCCCGATGCGCTCAACTCATATCTAGTACGACACATGGGTGAGAATTTTGTAAACCGATATATGCACTGTCAACTCTGGGACAGGGTGGGGATGCTTGAAGTGATAATAGTTTTTGTTTTCGTTTGGTGACCAACCGTGCAAAACACCAACTCATTGCCACCTCTTGAACATTGGCACAAACAACCCTTGCCCTAAACTAGGCCCCAAACCTTCTTCCACCTACGGAGGACCCGGCTGTTGAACGTGTTGTCTAGGTTTGCACACTTGTTTGCTCTTGGGGCTTCATCATCCCCTAGAAATCCTGCAAAATCCTGCGGAATACCCCACAGGATCCGCAGCTGAGGTTTCGTTCTGGATCTGCTCCTTCAGCAACAACCAGTATCAGTTGGCTGAGGAGCTGGGTCATGGCGATCCGATGGCTTCCTCTTTCAACCAGGCCACGCCGGCTTTTTGCGGAGGAGTTATGGATCCTTCTTAGGGAGAGTCTACAGGAAGGATCACAGCATAAGGGAATCATCCGATTGTTCAGGAACAGCTCTGTAAGTATTCCCCCAATGACTACTCTGCGCTTTGGGTTTGCTAGGTTCGGGGTACCCTTAGTGGACTTGGTCATGCCAACTGGGTCACATCATGACATCTGTAGAATAACTTAGCAACAAGTAGCAAAAAGAAGAATCAGTATGATATTATGATTTTGATCAGGACTTCCGATTCACCCTAAGCATTACACCCGAAACTTAGTTCTTACGCATGCCCAAGAAGCCTGACACTGTGATGCCCCAGGCGCTGCTCAGTCCGACCTGCAAAGGCCATGGGTTCTTTCAATCAATCTACAGTCACTATAGTCTGGCTTTCAAACTTCATAGTCATTGCCGGCACTGTATAGTGCACAGGTCCACCGTCGCTATCGTCGTAGTTGGAGGACAAGTAGGGTGACTGCGATGTTGCCGGCAATCAAAAACATGACGGCTTCAATAATTAGCTTGAGAGGGATAATGACACTGGTACCTGGTACCTTTGTTGATACAAACGCTGCAACTTCTATTTGCCAGCCCATGTTCAAGGGTCTCAGGCTTTTACCCCTAAGGTTGTACCCCTGGGTTTTAAGATCCTCTTAAGCCTAGGGGATTACATTGGTTCATACAAGGGCTATGTTAGGGTCAGATCAGGGAAACCTTGTAAGGCTTCGACCGTGATCATTTGGAAGGTCATGGCGACTTCGTAAGTAGCTGAAGTATGGGGACAACTGGGGTTATCATATGGCTTGTAAGGGTTTATAAGTATACTGACTAAGCCCCCTGGACGCTCCAATTAGGAACATGTGAGCTTGGTTTTAGGAGGTGCCCCTGCAAGGCACAGCCATGGTCCTGGACGAGAATGCCGAAGCCCTGAGACGGTCCTGGTGCCTCTTCGAGGTGGATAACGGCAAAACAGGGGGCTCCATAATCCTAAGCCAGAGTCCTAAAGCCCAATCCCGGAAACCTGCAAGCACCCTAGACTGCCTAAACCCTAACCCAGGTCTTTCAAACCTGCAAGCTGACCGCCGAGCGTGGCGATTTTGAGGGTCTCCTGATGTGCACTCCTTCAGGCGGGAGAAAGGAAACAGGCTAAAGAACCAGACATTCAGCACCCTGAGCCTAAAACCTACTCTCACACTCTAGGTCCCTAAGCCCCGTAAATCGTGTTCCCGTTCTCTCAGATACCGCTTTTTTGCCTAGAAGCATCATTTTTGAAGCCTCCAGGTGTGCTGCAGAAGGGAGATGCCAGCGTGGACATGGTTGTGGTGCTCGCGCGCACCCTTTCCAGGATCACCTTTGACAGCCAAACCTGAAACCCGAACCTCCGAATCAGCCCCAACTTGCCCCCAATTCCCAAGTCCTGGATGCTCTGCCTCAAGGATCAGGATGGAGGATGCCAGCGCTACGCGCATTGAGGACGCGCTGGTGCGGTTCATTGGGGATCTGCAATGGCTGTACGGCAGGTGTATAGTTACATTCTTTCTACAGGATTGAAAATGCTGCTAGCAGGACCAAAGACGAGTCGACTGACTCGTAGGGCGATGCCTCTTAATTTGACACGTTTTCATTACTCGCGTCATCTTCACGTGCAGATTCACGGTGTTAATGGGCTCTTAGGAGATTTCTGGACGGACTGCCCCCTCAAACACTTCCAGCCCAAAATCTGTGTTTCTGGCCTGGCGTCGAGGGCGAGCCTGCATTTCGGCCCCCCGCCAGCCTGTGCGCAACCCTGCCGGCGATGCGGACTCCCCCTGCCACCCTAGAAACATAAAAAAGGAGCCGATTGGCCCTTGATTGACCCTTTGTCATTGACGCTAGTGTCTCCTCGTTAGAGCAGGCTTTTGGACATAAGATTGAGGGGTTCCGAGCATGGGCTATGAGGGAAGGGTCCACCGAAGTGGTCACCATGTCTGGTCAAGATGTGAGGACAAGATCATGATCGACTCGTGTGGCTTTCCTGCATCTCATTGCGTGGTAGGATCAGTCAGAAAGGAAATGGCAGCATCAGTGATAGAAGTCATCAGGAATCTTCCTCCTTTCCTAGCCTCCCAGAAGGAAGAATCAAAATGGCTTCTGCCAGGCGTGCAGTCCCTGCCGGGTGGCTTTGCGTCGGTCAACCGCTTCGTACGCCACTGCGTGAAGGCTGCACTAGACGAGGCACATGGCTCCTTTGAAGGACAGGCAGCTACGGAGCATCAGATCAGTACCTTTGTCGTCAGCGGGCTATGCTTCTGCGTATTGCTCTGAGTCTAACTCCTGAGAGACGGGCTATCACTCTTGCCATTCAAAATACTTGTTTGCGTAGCGTTGTGGCGATGGTTTGGCACAGACGCCTGTGAGCCAGAGGACATTTCGCCGCCCTGGTGAGCGCGTTGGAGGGAAACATCGTGTAGCTTGGATGCCCTTGATGCTTGTACCTGTGCTAACAGCAAGCATGACGAAAGCAGGGTTGATTATAACCTCGCGCACGTGCGGCGTCAATCGCACATATCAACAATCCCTGCACAAAGAACGTTGCTTTCTCAACATTGATTGAAAGCATGCAAATGACAGGTCCGGCGAGTATAATCATGGTTACAGAAGATAATGTACAGATCCACACGACTCATGCGCACGTTTATTGTTCCGCTTTGTTGTCTACTGCAAACGTTTGGATCATTGCCATTCTTTGCAGCTTCAACACTAACAGCTGAACGTTTGGGAGCTTCGCACAGGCCAACTCCAAGCTTGCTGGGCCGGCGCAGCTCCTCACGTCTAACAGGCACAGACAGCACGTCAAAGCCCGCGCTTTGATGCTGGTGTTGCGTTCGAAAGACACGCATGATTTTCCGAAACGCACCCAGGGAATTTAAGTTTCCGCCTTGTGGCGCTTTCGCACAGTTTCTCTGGTCCTTGGGCAAAGACAGCAAAAGCACCATCAGGATAAAGAAGGACGTTGAGCTCCTTTTTACATGCCAGCACAAGTTCTGGCGAGACATCTAGTTCGGAGCGCGCCTTGCACAATTAAGGCAGGGCCGTCAAGAAAGGAGCCCTTTTGGGACCCCAGTCTGTACAGAGCCTGGCGGCTTAGCAGACGTCTAGGCACCATAAGGTGAGACCGAGCGACCAGAGCGCTCTGGGGGAAAATGTCAAAGTCGGCGCTCTCACAAAGCTCCCAGAAATGTGTGTAGAGTGTAGAAGGGCCACTAGATCTCCAGAGAGAATGCTACGCATGAACGTACTCAAAGTGATTGCTTCCTGTTCTCATTGTGGTCATCATGGCAAGGGCCTCATCGGAAGTCACATTTGGCTTTGCGCTCCACTAGCCGTACGAATTCAAAGCTGACATGTGGAGGCAGCTGCAGGTCAGCTGGTTGGAGTAGCCGCTAAAGCTTCACAAACCTAGTCCCAACATCAACTTCGTCGGGTGGTGGGCTCTGCTATCCCCATTTGTCCAAAGATGTTGTTGAACCCTGCAGAAAATGAAAACGGAACCAGGCGGGCGGATCTCTTCAGAGTGCCCTCGCGGCCTCCGCAGCGCGAGCCTCAACGAGAGCCATGCCCGCTTGTGATCCTCGCCCCCCCCTTGTATTGCTTTCGTCGGAATTGCCAATTTCTACCAACACTTCTTTGGATTTCGTTCTTCTATCTTCCTCTTCCTAATTGAATATTGCACTCATTGCTGCCACAAGCTGTCAGCAGCTGTCAGCTGCAGTCCTCTCCTCACCGCAACTCCACGGGTTCTGAAGGCCAGGGCTGCGCCTGCGGCAAGCAGCAAGAAGGCGCAGAAGAAGGCTGGAAGATGATGTCAGGGTGGATTGTAGTATTACCGGGGTTTGCTGTTGAGGGTTTGTAGCTATAACATATAGGGTGGAGGCTTCAGCAGATGACTAAAAGAGTTTAGGGTTGAGGGGTTCAGGGCCATCATCATGCAGGGCTTCAGTATTCGTGTGTGTTTGTGTGCAGTGTACATCTTCTTCTTGCTAGAAACTCGAAACTGCGCGACTTTTTGGCAGCCTCCCGGATGCAGCCTGCAGCCCTAAGGCCCTAAGGACTCAAGGAGGGCTGCAAACTGTTGCAGCATGCAGCCCGTAGCTCCCAGGACGAGTCTTACTTGAAATGTCACGTCAATCAATAGCTACTAGCTAAAATCTTAACGGCACCATGGTCTTAATCATTTTCATCATGACTTTCATGTGTCTAGTACTAGCATGCTAATTTCCCTGATCAATTGATGGTCTCATGGCCCTGAACCCTCCCAAGCCTGAAGTGCAAGCCCCAACAGCATCCCAGGACCAATGCCCTGCAAACTCTGGCTCCCCTTGTGAAGTAATAGCAATTCCCAGATGCTGGCAGTTTGAAGCCGAGATCGAACGTCCCAAGGCCTGACGAACCTTCAACCTGACCATTACGATGCCCTGACTCCACCACCGCTGCACAGGTCACAAAGACCACCAAGGGCGCGAAAGCTTCTGCAGCATCTCTGGCAGCGGCAGCTTCTTTGCGAGCTGAGGCTTCACCATTCATGCCTACTTTGACCAGGTTGCTACAATACAAGCCCTACTCGGGCTAATCCTGCTATTGCTGCCATGAGTCAGAAGATGTGTCAGTTCTCGCGATCTGCCTTGAGAGGCGCCGGAGTTCGTACCTACATCTGGATGGCCGGAGTCATAGGCTTGGGCTTCCTGGGACAGACGGTCTGTCGCATCAAGGCTTGAAGGATCATCTTTAAGTTAGGGGCCTGAAATGGCCTGAAGGTTTGTAATTATGTGCCAGGTTTTATCGAGATCATGCAAACCCCATTGTTGCAAGATTCAAGCGAAGAGGGCTTTGGGCTAGTGAGGCTTTGAGCATTCTGCACTGTGCTGCAGGCAGGGACAGAAGAATGTGAGAGAAGCCCACCCGCGGAAGTCATCCTAGACTTTACACGAGCACATTATGTGCTTGTAGGGTGTGAATTTAGAGTGAGTGGTTACTAACACTGACAACAGCCGGGGCCCGAACAAGAGATGGTATGCTTTCATGTCAGTCGCGTTGTCAGTGTTGGATTCTCAGAAGCCTAGAGCTTGTGCCATTGCAAGAGCTGCTGTGCAAGAGACAGTGCCACATAAGAGTGTACTCAGCAGAATATGAAGGCAAAAAGTGAGGTGAGTCGTGTTTTCAGAACTTGGAATGCACGGCAGCGCCCGCCTTTGCCAAGTACTGATCAAAGCAGTTGAAATGGCGGTATCATGCCAATTTGTTGAATAGGATTCAGCGTCACGCCTGTGTACACAACAGGGCCAGCGCACTCCATCACATCAATTTTGCAAGATGCACCGCTGGCCTTGTTTTTCAGGGCACCCGAACGTGGTGTCTGCGATCCGGAGTGCTCCAGTGTCTGGTCCGTGATACGATCCGTGGTGCCAAGTGGAGCACTATTGCTCAATCTGCCATCGATTTTGTTCGGGCAGCGTCTCCCAATCCTGGGAGATCTCGGCAGATGCACTTGAGACGAGAGTGCTGCTTCTCCCAGAAAATTTGAGCCGTCCAAGCCGCAGATATTGGTTACAATCGTTGCGTCATCAGTAGCAGTGGCTACAACAAGAGACGGCTGTGCTCTTGGGGTGGCTTATCATAGTAGGTCTGTGTGATACTTGGCCAGCTATTCTAGTAGTGCCCATAGCACAAGTAGCAGTACTGCAGCCGTACTGACTGTCACAGTGTAGTACTCGGTTCTGCGCATTGACAGGTAGCGGTTGATCATTAACAGCAACTGTGCAAGAAGCGCCAAATGTCTTCTTCGCCCGCAACGCGCCAAAATCGTGGCATAATCCAGTTGCACATATGCCCGAAGCCACTTCAGCCGGGGTTGTCACACATGGGTTGGTATCCTGTCGCTCAAGCATAGTGTCACGGCCTTAGCCACAGCCTATTGCAATCTTATGCATTTTTTAAGTGGAGAGGGTTGCTAAGAATTTGTTATGAGAACTGTAGTCAGGAAGTTTCTCAGGCTCCCAGATTCCCCACCACTTTCCTTGATCTTTGGCTGTGCCCCCGTCTCAGCCGCCGCTGCGAGGCAGGGCGGTCTTTGTGCATGTCGTTTGACAAGCAACAGAACCCCGACGAAATGCATCGCAGTTTCCAGAATGGAGAGGGTCAATGAGGGGTCCTCGTTTGCGTCCTGAGCAGCAATTAAGTTGTGCATGTGTTGTCCGTGTGGACCCTTCCTGACGCGACAGAAAGAAGATATGGCAGGTTCCTCTCAATATGGGCAAGCCTCACGCTCAGAGTCAGCTGCAGTGGCTTTTGCATAGCCACTACACTACAAGCTACAACCATCTATGCCTAATCAGGTCTATCCGATCCAAGATCAAGAAGCGCCTGCGAACAGTGAAGAGGCAAGGTTTCCTACGCGGTCATGTAGACAACGCTCTGATGGCTACCATGGCCTGGCTGAGTCCCCTTCTGCGCTTCCATGGCAATCAAGTTGCTAGCTCTTTTTATTAATGTTTTTTCCGCAACCTTTTGCATCCACAATCCTAGATTCCACAGAACCTCCTCACACAATCTATATCTTGGTAGGATAGCTGTTACAGAGCCGCCCCCCTGCCACCCCAGAACCCTCCGGAACAAGCCGCAGCACCCTCCAACCCAATGATCTAGGAAGGTCCCTCCAAAAGCCCTTTGAGGCAGCGGGTTGATGCTATGCTGGCATGGGGACTCAGAGACTCAGGGACTTTGAGATCTTGCCTCTTGTTAATATTGGGGCTATTGCGGTTAATAATTGTTGCGAATATTTCTCTGATTCTTATTTTGGGTATTTGCAGCTGTAACTGTTTTGGGGTATCATGGTGCGTATTGCATGTGGATTTGCTGTGGCCTCTTGTGCTTGCAGGGCAATAGCACTCCTTGCAATTTGTCTTTCTCCTTCTTCTTACTGCTGCCCTAGTCCAAATGCCTTTGGCTGTCGGTGAGTATATTGGGAGAGATCATTATAGTGGTGCTACGTATTTTGGTTCTGAGCTGCACTCAATTCAGGTTTCTTCATCTTGCGCCCCACTAGGGCGTAAAGATCCAACCCGAAAATTACAAAACAACAAGAACTATCCCTATAACACCCATTATAGTGGGTTCCATTTTCTTTTCTATTATTCCCATATAATCCCGATATTAATACAACCCTATATAGCTCAGGAGCTCTACAAAGGGGAGTTTGGGAGTTGTCCTTCTGGGTTCACTGTGTATGCGCCAATACTAAGCTTCTTCAAGCTTTAGACGCAAGGGCCTGAATTCTGAAGCCTTGATGCCATTGAGGTTGCGCCCCGAGAGGAGGAGAAGCATGCCAAGCTTGCTTCATCCTTGGTGAAAAAAGTGGTCTGTCATAATGTGGCCTGAGCAGTTTCGACGATGTGGGTAAATGCAGCGCAACGACGAAAGAGGCCCCAGATGTGGGTGTGTAAGCGGCAGGCTAGAAAGCTCCCTGTGGCAATTACTGCACCCCCCCCCCCACGCCCCAAACCCGGCCCACATAGCCCTCTTCTGCCGAGATTTGCTGAGGTGAAGGTGGCGCAGGGCAAGCAGCTCACGCTGCTGAGGTCTGCCTCCGTGCAAAACCACGCGCTATTCTTATAGAGAGTGGAGGACTGCATGCCGATGGTAGTCCCTTCTATGGTCTCCTAGAATCGCACTGCTGACCCATCTCAGTCTCACTCGTATTGCTACCTGTAGTAACTGTAGTAGCTGCTACTGCTAGGTTTCGCGCTCTTCCTTCCTGGCACTGACCTCGTGAGGCCGAAGAACGCCTTCAAGTATCCTGACTCTGAGGACGCCGTCTTCCCACAGCACGAGGAGCCTCAGCAAGTTATGCCGATTGCTACGGTCATCATCACTCATCACCATGATTGTTCTTCGTGCGGCTGTGTCAGCTCATCGGACTGCTATGAATAATCCTTCCCCTGATATTCTTTGCCTCCTTAAGCCTTAAGTGGCGACATGATGCTTATCCATCACTAATTTGCGATAGGGCAGCACTGCATGACGTCTTTGCTGGCAATGGTCTTGAGCTAGTTTAAGTCGAAGCAAAGGACCCCTCAAAAATGTACTGGGTGCAGTTGGGGCTTACTCTGAGTTTATCTCCGGTACCCAATGCATACGGCAAAGTGAGGGGGCATCTGCAAAATAGGGCACTCCAAATCATAGCGGGTTAAGGGTGAGAGTCTGAGTCTGCCAGATAGCTAGTGGGCCAGGGCTGACGATGACAGACGAAAGAGCCAAAGAGCTACCCACCCAGCACCGGTACCTCATGCACCCCACTCCCTCCCTTTGAGGAGGTCCTTCTACCCGAGCTCCCTCTTGCAGCCCAAGAATTAGGGTCATGGAGCCTCGGCGGTGGTATAGGATTCAATGGCTGAAAAAAAAGAGTCTATCGTGGTCGTACGATTTGACATTTCAAAAGCCGAGGGCCAGCATCATGAGCATCAGCGGGTTGTCTTTCAAGGCCTTCAGCATGCACTTTGCTGACCCCAAACCAGCACCTGGTGCAGACATTTCAAAAGCCAGAGGGCCGGCATCATGAGCATCAGCGGGTGCTCTTTCAAGGCCTTCGGGCCCACATCGCTGACCCAAAACCAGCCATTTCGATGTCATACGGCGGGCAGTTTTTTGCGAGGTGATGAAGCCCGTAGACTTCCGCGCGCAGAACCTGCCCATGGCGGGCACAGTCTTCCGAGGCAAGCTTTTCTCATTACCATGGATGCAGCCGAGCCTGGCCAATGAGTAGTCGGATGCCAGGGCACGTAGGGCCTAGGGCTCGGGGTACTTAAAGCCATAGCCATAAACGGTGGCACTGGCAGCGCTGCGCTCACCTACTTTCTTGCGGCAACCTTTGCTATCATCTCGAGCAGCGTTTGGCGGGCCGCCAACTGCTTTTGCTTTTTTCCACTTCAGTTTTTTCAAGATCTCAGTAAAGATTGGTGTCAGTGCTTTGCCTACCATGATGAGTTATCAGCACTAGCATCCTGGCCACCCACTAATTGTGGTTGGCTTGCCCGAGGCAACCGGCGGAAGTACTCCGACCAGGAGGCTGCTTGCAACCGGGAATGAAGCCCAGAGTCCTAAGCCCTTACATCCGCGATCCGAAGCCTGAAAGCTCATGCATATCACCTACATACACTTGCCAGAAAGAGATGTTGAACAAGATCATCAAGGAGCAGCATCCAAAGATGGAGGCCACTGCACCATGGCTCTTTGGGGGATTACTTACGATCAAGGGCCCCCCTTTCCGGGTGGTTTCTGTCATGTATTGGCCCCTTTATCTTCAGGACGACAGTTTGGTGCGATGATACTGTGACCTCTATTGTAGTTTTGACAGCTGCCCATACCACACCCATACTAGATTATCAGATCAAGTGAGAACCCGTATTGAGGGAGTGCGGTAATCCCTCCTGTACCACCCTCCCCTTCCCACCGCTATGTACTGTCATAGGCTCTGCATTTCTGTCCCTTTGATGCTCTCATATACAGCCAAGAGTTCTGGTCTTGTTTTGAGCTATTCTGGCTGCAAAATCAAATCAAACCCCTCTCTGCGAAGGTGCTTGCAGGTGGTGGTGCAGTCCTGGCAAAGTCAGGCAAGAAGGTTTCTCTGGCAGAGGCCCGGGCAGGCAAAAGAGTTGCTTCTTTCAGTCTAACTGACAGTATCGAGTAGGGCTGAGGGCTTCTCCAGGGCTTTGGATGCATAGGATATATTTGGGAGTTCAGATTTTGGGTTTCTTTCTGGGGTTTGAGGATCGTAGAATTTCGTTGCCCCTGAACCAGGTAGTACACCCTGCAGAAGTACGGGGCACACAAGCAGCAGTAGCAGACCTTAAGTCCGTATCTGCTTCGGGGCGCAGTTCATATGACCTTTCTACATTCTGGTACCACCGCTGGAATGTCTTTTTCGTGCTGCTGCCGTGCTTACTATTTCGGGTTTAGTTTGCATGGCAGGCGCTGCCATTGATCCGTAACCATGACTCCAGAATCTGACGTCTAAACCCTCAACCCTCCGCCCTTCACATAGGCCCCTACGCACCCTTCATAGAAACCGTCAGGCAGCACGCCCTAAGCCAAACCCTCAGCCCCGAAATCCTCAAGACTGGGATATCTGTGGCCAATTAACATCAGTTCACCCAAAGAAGAGGACCCTGAAAGATCCGGACAATTACCACTATTGCTGCTACTATTGGTACTATACTACTGCTATGATTATCCCACATCCCCCTTAACTTGGTGGGGAGTTGGAGTTTGCCAGGCGGAGCTGTTGGCCACCAAAGTGAACCGGCCGGAGGCCGTGCAGGCTGCCGAGACGGCTGAACCAGAGCCGGGGACTTGAGCATTTTTGGATATTTTGTGGGCTTGAGGGCTGTTGAGGGCCAGGGAGAGGGTTTTCAGGAGTTAGAGTATTTCTAGATTCTGGGGTGTAAAGCGTTTCAGGGTTTGTTGTTCGTTGATGTTGCTTTGGGTATTTGGGCGGTTTGGGTTCAGGCTTGCATGGGTCTCGGGATGAAAAGGGTCAGCACACATTCTTCTCCGGAAGTCTGGTCCTCAGGTCGTTTTTCCATGGACAAGAAGTTGCAGTTATTGTTTCACGCGCGATTGCACTCGCTGATTTTTTGTTATCTGTCGAGTACCCATACGTTTCTTGCTACCTTTTGTTGGCGAGCATCATCCTTTTGATTTGCACCTTGATGTTTAGCATTACCGTCTCGCAGCGGGAGCCGTTTGACTCTGAAGCTCCGAGCTGCTGCCCTCCAGGTCCAGGTGTTTTGTTTTCATCCCCACGTTCCAAGCTGGTAGCTTTGATCTCCTGACGCTCACTGAGATCACTGACATAGGCATGCCGTAGGGATTTAACAAGAATGTGTAGGTATCGGAGTTTGGATCCTCGTGGAGCAGAGGGTCCTAGGAGGAAGATTTAAATGTCTGCAATGTCCGTCTTGTGGATAAGATTTGCATTGGCTTGAATCCACCAAGCGGTGCCAACCTTCTCAAATGCGGCCCGACAGGCGAGAAAGTCACAGCCCACACCCCTGTCTGAATGCTGAAGCGTAGAGGGGTTGAGAGGTTATATCACTATGCTTTAGGGGTGGCTTTCGCGAAGCCTGCGTTTTGAGAACTCCCCTACAACCGACCCTCATGACCTCGTACACTCTAAAGCCTAAGCCCTCAAGCCATATTTTGCCTGTGAGCCTTTCTGAGGCAGCCGCAAAGCGCGCAAAGCGTCCAAGCTGAGACTGCCCAGGAGGGAACGTGCGAGTCACAACCAAAAAGAGAATGGGCGTGGTCCTACGGCATGAACAAGAACTGGCAATACCAGATAATCATCACGTGCAGTAGCCACATTCATGATAGTAAGTAGAAAATTAATGAACTACGCTAGTATCAATTAGCAACGGAAGCTGCTTCGATCCTAGTTTCTCCCGTCGCACCCATCGTTTCATGAGCGCGCCTAGCACTTCTAAGAGCGGCTTTTCATTGCCCACTGTGAGGATGCTGCTATGGAAGAGGCTGCCGGTGATTAATCTGATTGCTGGTAATTGACATGAAGGCATGATGTTGGTGATTCGGTTCCCTCGCGTGACCCCTCCCCTGATGCTCCAGTTTGCACTATGCTCCGTGTGACGCAGCGCAGTGAGAATGCTAGGTGTATGATTGGTCTTTAGACGAATCCGTTTGATGCCAAGCCAGGACGCCGCGCCGGATCCCGAAGGTGGCGTTGACACCTCCCGGAGACCTGTCCTGAAGGCCCAAGCGGGGTTTGCTGGAGGAAGACAATGAGCATTGCAGCTATGGCAGCTATGGTACTGTGTGCACCATGTACCTGTTGCAGCTCAGTCGTTTTTGAGGCTGCCTTGCGTCTGTGCTTTTGTACGTCCTTGGCCCTTGCAGGACACGCGGCGCGCCAAGCGCGCCGCAGACCACAGGCCACGGCCGAACTCCGTGAAGAAGTCCAGGAATCCTCAGGCAAAACCCATTCGACAGAGAGGAGTGCAGAGCAGTTGCCATCCCGCCATGGCCAGGCCAAGAAGGCAGCCAAGACCTAAGAGCTTTTGAGCTCTGCGCTGTTGGGCCCTTCGTTTCACCGATAAGTCAGTAAGACTCAGTGCACTCTGCCTGAGCAATAGCACAGCATGAGCATTCAAGAGCATGCAGACATGACTCGTGTGTCGAAAAGGCCAGGTCAAGGGCAACTGAGCACCCTTTTATTTAGGAGCTTGATGCTTCCGTTGGTACCGGAAGCGTTGGGATGTGAAGCATCAATGTTCCGTTCTTGCAATGCCAGAGATCACAGATCCTCGCATGCGTCTATATAGCACATCAGTGAGGGACGCAGCCCAGGGACAATAAATTCAGCACAGCCATTGTGCAGGCCATTCGGCTCAGTGCTGGATCTGCACATTGCGTAGCAAGGCAGCCAGTCATTTGAATGGGATAGCCCCTTCCAACCACTAGATCATCACAACGCAGAGACGCGTGTGACATGGTCTGGTCTACTGCGAGGTTCGAGCGACCGTGTACAAAGAGTCTTAATCCCAGCGATTCTTCACTTATGCTAGAATTTAAACATTTCGTACGAAATTAATATGGAGCCTTGGAGCAGCCTGCATTTGTACAAAGCCACACCCGGCCATGGCATTCGATCCCAAGAGCCGGTGGCAGCAGCTTGGCCAGCAGATGACAAGCCCCAAAGAGCAGCGATCACTGTTATCACTCTGGCAGCTGTACCATGAGGCTGCAACATACAAGTTTCCACTGCAGTCCTTACTCTTGTCCAGGTATCTGAGAGGAGCCACGCCTGTTCATCCATGGTACGGATCCTAAAGCCCAAATCAAGAAGCCCTAAAGCCCCTCAGCCACCACAACCCCATTCCCTGCCCTGAACCACGTAGCACCGAAGGTACAAGTGCCCTTTCCGGAAAGCCTGGGTGGATCTTAGTGATGCGGAGGCCCGGGTGGGGTAAGGTATCTGTCTCTAATCAACGGGGGAGCACAGCTACCGCACATGTAAATTGCATGTGTACGATTGTCACAACTGCTAAGATCAGCTTCGTGACTACCGTTTCCAGTATGCAGCCCAATGGATTAGAAGTGGCAATTCAGTCAGTGGAGTTGTGCTGATGTTCTTATGAGAAGTCTGCTTGATCCATGGCCGGAAGCCCTCAACCTTTGAGATTGCACGGCCCGGGGCCTGGGCAGAGGATCGCCAGCTGAAGGACGCGTACTTGGCACTTCAGCGAGGCAGCACGTAGATCGTCGTCTAAAGGAGGTTTGATTCTCATAGGATTCTCTCTGTAAAAAGATACGTAACAAGAACAAGTCACGTATACAGTGTCATGTGTATTCATGCAGGTAATAAATACATAAACCTGCGCATGACCTTGGCACCATTTGCCCATGACCGCAGATGAATATGAATATCCTCGTGCTGATGCACATGTACAACGACATGAACATGTAAACGTACACTCACGCTTGCATGCATGCACGGATCAAGATGCCATCGGGAGCCTCAGAAGCTTGCAGGTGGGCAGCCGATTGCGCAGTGCAAGCTGGGAGCTTTGCGGTTCCGGCTTCAGCATCCCTGAGGGACATATGCGGTGGATGTGGGAACATGTGCATATAGACTGCTTCGAGTCAGTGAGAGGGGTAGCGGTAGAATATTATTTGTTCTGAAGGGTAGAGCGCAGGCTCTTGCTCAGTGAATATGGAAGATTTGCGAGAATGGTTTGGCTTGGGGCGCGAAGGCAGAAGATCAGTGGCTGCTTCGGGCTCAGAACCCCATGAACCATGAAACTGCGGCGCGCCAGGTTTCAGACAGACTTCCGAAGTATGCTCCGAACCAACGTAGCCAGCAAGCGCCGCATGGAGGCAGCAGTCCTGGAAGTTTTTGGGTTCGGAGGGTCTTGAGATGAGGGTACTTGAAGTGTACGAAACCTTGGTTGAGACATTGTTCGGATGTCGTGTAGATCATACCTTGGAGCCCTCAGCCCCTGGATCCTGAAACGGGATTTTGAATCCCAGCTCTGGCCTGGCAGGTCCGGCTGCGAGACGGAAAGCTGTCCGATGCCTCAGCACGCCACACAAGCAGGTTATGTTTGTACATTGAACTTGCATCCTTCTCCTTGCTTTGTGAACAGATTCCCGTGTCACTTGTTCTCCTCATCATGAGTATGCTCAAATGGCTCTCATGGCCATCGCATGGCAAGGCCTTTCGAGCCCCCGCCTTCGGAGGCCCTGATGCTCATTCATTCGGCCAGGGAGAGCCTATGAAGTTGTATATTGTTCCTTTTTGGGCCCAGCAAAATCCATGTCAGACCTCAAGAAGCTCTATCCGAAACCTCTGCAGATCTTAGAAAACACCTTGACCTTGACCGAAGCCCTGGCAGAGGATCCACCGTCCAAGGCATCCCTCGGCCTGGAGGAGCTCTTTGGTTGAGTTGGATTTGTGCCAAACATGTAGCTCCCATTTTGGGGTTCCAGTATCCAGGGGTATGATTATCTGTGGTTGTGATCATAGCAACGGCGAGAACAGTGGCTGGCAGCTGCAGAGGAATCATCGTATTGGAAATCCTGGCGCAAGTGATGCTTTTGGCAGTCGTGTAGATGGTAGGAAGGACGCAACAACGCAATACCTCTCGCGAGTTCTGGTGGTGTACTCGCTCTTCGCTTGGCCATGTCACAACATAGTAATCACACGTTTTTTGCTTCTCAAATTGAAAATACTATGCCACAATCTGAGCGATCAATTTCTGATCCTTCACGCAGATGGAGGAGGGGCTGGCTTTCGAGAGGATCGCTCCCTGTGATCTCGAGTCGCCAGGGTCTCAGTTGTGGTCAACATGGGAAAGCTTCTAAAGTGGGTCCCATGTGAAGATCATGGGCCGGGAACTAAGAGCGGCGCGAGCGGAAGTTACCTGAAACAGAGCATGCAGCATGGCGAAAATTCCGTGTTCCGGCGTATTTGTATTTGTGGTGCACGGTACTTGCTCTCAGAGCCACGCTGGCCGACGTGGACGAGGATGACTCAGAGGGGCGGGGGGGTTGGAGGAGAAGGGAGGAGGGAAAGGGGGGGGGAAAGCCGACGCCCGGTCTGTCATGCAGAAGTTCCGACGGAATCGAACCCCACCTCGCTGTAAAACATGTTTGTGCATGTCTGTTCCTGGTTGATTGTTCGCCACCTATGAGTGGCGAGTTCGCCACCTCTGAGTGGCGTGTTGCTGTGTTGAGCGTAGTTTTAGTGTCCATGTTTGTTGTCTTTGCTGTTCTGCATGCGCCGCTATCCTCCTGTTCACCATTGACATCATAACCATCATCATCATCATGCCCTTGGTTGTTGCAAGCAATCCTGCTGGTGCTTCGCTTCGAGTGTCGAGGTAGAGCAGTCATCGCTACTGAAAAGATGCCTGCCAGCTCGTGCACCCTAGACTAGTCATCACACAAACGTGCAGCCACGGGGACTCCCCAAATATGGGATTTTTTTGGGGCGTCAGAGGCGGAAATTGATATTTCCCATATGGCAAGTGAGGGTGCGAGTGGGGCAGAAGCGGAGGGAGGGAGCCAGTCAGTGAACGCATGAGTGAGCATGCCAGTGTTTGCTTGCTTGGTGGCTTGGTTGGGCTAGTTACATGCATGCTTAAGTGGAGCGAGCCTTTGGAGAGGGGGGTGAATTAAGAACAGTGCTGCCTAGATGCGGTCAGTTGTACATACAGACATGTTGCCACAACCTGTTTTGGTGTGTGCCGCCTTGTCAAGGCTTTAGGGAGTTGGCTCTTTGAGAGGTTTAGGGAGTCAATCTCAACCTTGCAGTTGTAGCGAAGACCTCTCCGGAGAGGCTCCATCTTCGCAAAGGAATCCGCCTAGGGTGCAGGGAGCTTGAAAGGACAGATATCCAATCTCCGGCCCTCGCTTCTTCGAAAAAGGCTCATAAATGGCATGGTGTCGCTTTGTCGGAATTCGGGGGGGTCTCGCTTAAAAGTAAGACTCAGGCCCATTTCATTCTCCAATTATGAAACCGTATACAGCCTACAGCTAGTACTAAGCACCCAAGTCAAAGCCTCGGAACAGCCTTCAGGACTAGAACCTGCACTCCTGTCTCTTTAACTTAATATTCTCAACCCTGGATCCTGGAAACCCTGGACTCGACTATTGAAATCCTGTACCTAAGCCCTGAACCCCTCAAAATCACTCAACGAGTTGTTCGACTGCTGCTGATGGCTCATATAATTTTCCCTCATTTTGGGAACTGTATAAGTTAGGGAAACTTCCATCTGTGTATGAGCCCCATGTAACCCTCACATGATTCGTACATACACGCATTTAATCCCTTTATTTATGATGCTTTATTCTAGCCGGGGGCTATAGCAACCTGGGTTTTAAACCTGAGGGGTTACAGCCTAGGGATTTAAGCTTTGGAGCTTAAAGTTGAGAGGGTAGCGGTTTAGACCCTTAGGAGCCTAGACTTATAGGTTTAGGGTTAAGCTAAGGATTATCTTGCCATGCCGCGCCTTGCGTTTTGCGGGTCAGACGTGGCGTGGGATGATCCGGGGCCTGCTCTTGAGACCGTGGATGGCTGGGTCTGCCTCAGATTCCTCCTGGTTCGCTCTGGTTCTGCCTTCGCTGGCATTCACGACCGCGCTGTTGTGACCTATGGCGATCCCGAAGCAGGCGGCGACAGCGGCTCGGTGCAACATCTACTGATCAATGTGCACCGCATCAGGGGATGCGAGCGATCTTTTGCAGCGATCCTCCCAAGTTACAGGCTCCTCGCTTTGTGTGAGCATTCTACCTGTGGCAGGGGGCTCCGAGCAAAGCAGCAGCCCCGCACAACCCTCGCCCACCCTAGGCCCTAGGGGTATAGGTCCCCCGTACAAGCTATGTTTAGTGGTTTATCCCGGCCCCAAGGGCTGGCCATTCTGGGTTTTCTGTTAATCCTAGCCGGACTGCTGTCCTCTGTGATGCACATGATCCGTCAGTCCCAGCAGGGTTTCCGCGCTCCGCCCCGCAGGCCTGAGGCTTATGACATGTCAACTCCACCAACAGGACA